AATAAATTGTCTTGTTCCTGTCTTCTTCTCCTGAGGAACATCCAAAGCTTCTCTGAGCCCCAGGGGCAGCTCACAGCACACGGCTGGGGCAGAGAGGGGGACAAGGAGAGGTCTAGCGGGAATCTGGGATGAGCTGCAGATTTAGGGAATCCTTTGTGGGGTGGTCTGACCTGTCTGCCCTGGGTCTGGCTTTGATCAAATTCTCTCAGGTCTCTGCTGGAGCCAGGAGACAACAGAACCCTGGGATGCATCACAAGGAATGTGACCAGCAGGTCCAGGGATGGGATTCACTCCCTCTGCTCCACTCCCTGTAGAACCTGGAGTTCTGTATCCAGCTCTGAGAGCCTCAGCGCAAGGACGTGGAGCTGCTGGAGCAAGTCCAGAGGAGGCCATGGGGATGCTCCAAGGATTGGACCCCCTCTGCTCTGGAGCCAGGCTGGGAGAGCTGGGAATGTCCAGCCTGGAAAAGAGAAAGTTCCAGGGAGAGCTCAGAGCCCCTTCCAGTGCCTGAAGGGGCTCCAGAAGAGCTGGAGAGGGACTTGGGACAAGGGGTGGAGGGACAGGACACAGGGAATGGGTTCCCAGTGCCAGAGGGCAGGGATGGATGGGATATTGGGAAGGAATTCTTCCCTGTGAGGGTGGGGAGGCCCTGGAATTCCCAGAGAAGCTGTGGTTGCCCCATCCCTTGAAGGCCAGGTTGGATGGGGCTTGGATCAACCTGGAGACAGTGGAAGGTGTCCCTGCCCATGGCAGGGCTTTGGAATGAGATGATCTTGAAGGTCCCTTCCAACCCAAACCATTCCATGATTCTTGGTCCCAGTTCAGTGCTGAGGTTAAAACCAGTGTGGGGAGAGCTGCCAAACTTCCTGCATCCATCTGCAGCTCCAATCCGTGTCAAACCCACCTGCTCCCAGGTGGGAAAGCCACAACTGTCTGCTCAGCTGGGTCCCTTGAGCCTATGCCTTGTCCCACTGAGGGGACACATGTGTCCTTTCCCTGAGGGCACCTTCCAGAAGCTCAGTTATGGGAATCACCTGACCTTTACACGCATTCCAGAGGCTTGGAAGAGGGATGAAGTGTCTCCAAAGCTGTGCCAATGAAATGGTTTTTAAGCCAGGCAGAGACATGCTGGATCCTAGCCATACATTGTAGGGGATTGTAGTAAAATCAATTAGGAGGAATAAGGCTGCTGTGACTAATGAGCTAATGAGTGGTGGCTTAGTGAAAATGGCTCTAAAAGAGCTGCAGGGTTGGATTCCTGACTCATTATTCATAGGGATAGGCCAGAGTCAGGCTTGGCTTTCTCTATTTTTTACTTTGCTCTTCACTCTCTTTAACTTTTAAAGATATTCTTCCTCAGTGGAGGAGATGGAGAAGGGCAGGGACACCTGTTTAATTCCTCTCTTTCTGGTGCAAGAACCTCAGCTCCAGATAAATTTTGGTTTCTGTGAGGGACAGGTGGGAACTGTGATTTCCCAGAGGTGAAATTCACGGTGATTTAATCCCTGGCATCTTCCCAGCAGCAGCTGAGTGCTCAGAGTAACCCATCCTTGGTGCTTCCATGAGTGCCTTTCATCCCTGACTCGTGGAGATGCTGGAGCAAGTCCAGAAGGGGCCACGGAGGTGCTCCAAGGACTGGAGCCCCTCTGCTCTGAAGCCAGGCTGGGACAGCTGGGAATGTCCAGCCTGGAGAAGGGAAGGATCCATGGAGAACTCAGAGCCCCTTCCAGTGCCTGAAGGAGCTCCAGGAGAGCTGGAGGTGGTCTTGGGATGAGGGATGGAGGGACAGGACACCGGGAATGGCTTTAAACAGGAATAGGGTGTGGTTAAATGGGATATTGGGAAGAAATCCTTCCTTATGAGGGTGGGGAGGGGCTGGAATGGAATTCCTAGAGCATCTCCATCTGCCCCATCCCTGAAGGTATCCAAGGCCAGGTTGGACAGGGCTGGAGCAGCCTGGGGTAGTGGAAGGTGTCCCTGCCCACGGCAAGGTTTGGAATGGGATGATCTTTAAGTCCTCTTCCAACAGAAGCGTAGCACTTTTGTTGACATGTGTGACATGACAGGGTCATGTCAGCACCTCTCCACCCTTAAATCCAATCCCGTCTTTCACTCCTGCATCTGCCTGCTCTGGAAATTCGGGATTAATAGGACATACATCAGGAGCTGATTAGAGTAATGAATATGGAGAGTTCAAAATAATTAAGTCAAGCTGGCTCTCAGCACCTGCAGCCCTTTGTTCCTGAAACTCTGCCCTGGAGGTGGATGGGGAATTTTAGGATTTGCAATGGAATTGGGCAGCCTGGGAGTCTGTGGGATTTGGAGATTTCCAGGCTGGATGCAAGTGAGGCAGGGCTGGTGAAGGTGCCTCCACCCTGAGACAGCCTCAGCTGGCGAGGTGGGACAGGAAGAGAGCTTGGCACAGAATTCCCAGGCTGGAAGTAAACATTTGGCTGAACTTTTCCTTTTGCTTATGACAACAAACTCATCTGAAGTGCCGGAGTTGTATTAGTTTCCCTTCAAACAGATACACTAAAAAATGTATATTTTTAAAAAGATCCAACTTGTGACAAGGCAGATTTATGCAGATTGTGTGTATTTCTAGATTTTTTTCTGTAATTAGTGGAAACACTCCCCCCCGCCCCCCCCCCAGTAGGACAGGTTGTGGTTTCCTACAAAATAATAAAATTAATTCAACAAAACAATATTTGAATATTCTCATTATTTCTTGTTAATTGTTTTTTTTTTGTGTGTGTGTGTGTGTGAGTTTCCAGCCCCGAAAGCAGAAGCACAGGGTGTGCATAAAAGAGGAGACATTTCAGGACTCAGATAAGATCAACTGAAACCATAAACAAGGTGTGTTGACACCCCTCCAAAACCACCCTCCAGAGCAAAGGAGGGAAGAGGATTTAGAGCAGGGTGGTGGCAAAGATTCTTCCATCCAAGATTTTCTAAGGCGAGGGAGATCACATTTCAGATGTGCAGGTGGAACCAGTCATTTAACACATATTGTTTGAGGCCACTTAATACCAGAAACCAGAAGCCACACCCTATCCATGTTTTTTAATTTTTTTTTTTTTTTGGTTCCTTATGAACAAGGCAAACACCATCAGAGGATTTCACCTTTTTAATAGGATTATAATGTTTTCTGCTGAACACGAGTGATGCCAGATGTGGAATATACCTAAATGTCTTTCCCTAGGTAATTTTTAGGGCTGGAAATAAATGCTTAGCTCTCATAATCCACATAATTACTGTATTAGAGAGGCAACTGTGAAAACAATCTGTCGGAATTCCTGAGGATGGCAGTCTCCTAGAGGTGGTGTTTGGAAAAGCAGCAGGGATTGCTGAAATGCTGAGACCACCTTTAGATTGGATATTAGGGAAAAATTCTTCCCTGAGAGGGTGGGGAGGCCCTGGGATGGAATTTGGGAGAAGCTGTGGCTGGCCCATCCCTGGAAGTGTCCAAGGCCAGGTTGGATGAGCTTTGGAGCAGCCTGGGATATTGAAAGTTGTCCCTGCCCATGGTAGGAGGTTGGGACTGGATGGTCTTTAAGTTCCCTTCCAACCCAAGCCATTCTATGATTGTGGAGCTTTAGACTTGGAGAGAAGATGATTTGAATTTTTTATCCAGCATTCCTGGAAAAACTTTTAGCATTCCAAGGCAGAACAAGACAAATTGGCCTCAAGTCACAGCAGAGAAAGTTTAGATTGGGTATTAGGGAAGATTTCTTTGCAGAAAGGATTGTCAGGAATTGGAACATTCTCCAGGTTAGTGATGGAGTCACAAATCTGGAAGTGCTCAAAAATCCTGTGGATGTGGCACTTGAGGACAGGATTTAGTGGAGAAAATGGTGGTGGTGCTAGTTTGACTCTGGATGTGACGATCCTAACATCTTTCCCAACTTCAATGGTTCTATCATTCCAAGAGTTCAAGTGAATAACCCTGAACAAAGTTCCTTTGATGGTGGAATAAGAAAGGTGGTGGGGATATCTCCGGCACCATTTTGGATGCAGATTTTCCCCATTCCTTAGTAAAAGCCTGTTTTGGGAGGGTGCCTGGCATAACCACCAGAAGGCTCTTCCTTCCCAGTTTTTGCAATTCCACACTTTGCTCGTCCCGGGTTGGAGGAGGATTTCCTAGCACGGAACTGGCCTGAGGGTGCAGGAAAATCCATCAGGTGCCTGGGGCAGCAGGGTTGGGAATGGGAAAGGTGTTTGGGAAGCAAAAAGGTCATGAGCTTGCAACCACACTTGGAGAGGGTTAGCTCAGAGCAGAGGGGCGTCTCCATTCCATCCTTCCTTGGGATAAAGAGCCTGAGAGATTCCTTTTGGGTCCTGGTCCTGTTTTTTTCCTAGTGCTCCATGCTTTTTCCCAGTGAGTGAGTGACTGAAAGTCAAATTTCCTTTCTAGACCAGGCTGGACAAAGCTTGGAGCAACCTGGTCTAGCTGAAGTTGTCCCTGCCCATGCAGAGGGTTTGGAATGAGATGATCCCTTCCAATCCAAACCATTCCATGATTCTCCTCCTCCTGATAAACTCTAGACCCCCCTGAAGGTGAAAATGCAGAGGAGAAATATCCATGAGGTTCAATTCTTTGCTGTTCACACCCACCAAGGCGTTTTTACCCAGGATTTCCTGAAACCACTCCAAAAAAGGAGAGAAAATATCCCCAAGCTGCAAGACACGACCTGAACACCAGGATTACTTAACACCCCGGGCCTTCTACATCCTGCTTGGACACAAAACACCAGGTTTAACCAATCCCAGCCATTGTCCACCCTGCAAAACCAAATTTTCTTCTCCAAGGAACATGAAAAGACATGACGGAGTAGCAAGAGGTGGGGCCTGCTTTTGAGATCCTTCAATTCATTTATAGCTCAAGAAGAGTCGTTTTTCCAGTAGATTTGGATCTGGGGACGGAATCGGTGCATGGAAAATCACCGGGACGTGTGACATCAGTGAAGAGTGGTGACAACCCAGTAGCCAGACAACGAGGGATGTGCAAGATGAAGGTGTTTCTGTCTCTTCTGTTGGCTGCTGTCACTTGCATGGATTTGGGTGAGTTCCTACTCAGATTTATCCAGACTCCTTCAGGAGATGCAGTGTGATGGGATAGGATGTGCCCTGTCCTGAAAGCCATGTCTCTAAATTTAGGCAGTTGTCAGGAAAAAAAAAAAATCTGTCTTTGGAATATTTCCATATGTTCAGGATGGTGATGGTGTCATTGGGATTGTCAGGTCAGGCTCTTTAGGAAGTTTCACAAGGCAGAGTGTGATTAAACCGTGTCATTCCTTTAATGCAAATTCCCACTCTCACTTTTTCTATGTTCGTGCTCTATCTCACTATTTTTTTTTTTCCTTAATGTTATTTTTAACTTTCTGCACCTTTTTTGATACTTAGCCCTGGATGTCAGTTCCATGCAGCATGTGTGGGAGCTCTCCAAAAGTGTTACACGTGGGATTTATCCAATTTTAGCTGTTAGAAATGGGAAGGATGGGCTGGGACACTGCTGGTGGCCCAGGTACTCCAGGGTTGATGTTTATCATAGAATCATGGAATGGTTTGGGTTAGGAGGGGCTTTAAAGATCAAAGTGAGGCACTGGAACAGATTACCCCAAAGAGTTGTGGGTGCTCATTCCTGGAAGTGTCCAAGACCAGACTGGGCTGGGCTTGGAGCAACCTGGTCCAGTGGAAGGTGCTGCTGCCCATGGCAGGGGGGGGAATTCCATGATCATACTCTTCCAACCCAAACCATTCTGTAGTTCCATTCCATGATTCCGTGATCCTCCCTCCATTCTGTCCCTTGTTTCTACCACCACACCAATTTCTTGGACAAAAATTGATGATCCAAAGCTTTGTTGGTGCTCTCCTGGATGTCCAAGGTAATTCATGGGCAGGATCAGTCCAGGATCTGTGACTGTTCATTGGGATATTCTCAGATCCAGGCAGTGCCAGGTCTGATTTTATCTGTGCCTGTTTATGGAGCTATGTCAGGATTTTTTAACACCTATTTATTTCTTTCTTTTGCAAGGAAATTTTCGGTTCTTCCCTCTTTGCTGAGCAGACTCTGCAGGGGAGAAACAGGTGGTGGCTTGTTTAGTTTTCTTTTCAGAGTGGAACACAAATCCTGTGGGTTGGATTTGTCCAGGATCCTGAAATGTGAGACTAACAGCAATGCTTCCTCCTAAAAATGAGTTTCACAACTGTCAGACGTGGATTAGTGCAAACAAAGCATCAGGTCATGATGGGCAAAACAAGAGAATAAAGTTTGCTTTAGCAGGAAAATTGCTGTGTTTGTTTAAAAAGGGTTTTTTCTGGCTCATTAATTAGGATGGCGTCTGTTTTCACGGGGTGACTTGTTTGCCTGAGCCTGCTGACATCCCATTGGAGCTGTGCTGGGAGGAGATGAATAATTTCTCCATTTTAGTGAGGTTTTAAGGAATTTCAGTGGAAACGTCACACACAGAGGGTGACAAGGGCTTCCCAGACTGAAGAGGGGCTGTTGGGGTGTGATGGCACCAAAATACATCGGTGTGGTTGTAACACACACGTTGAGGTGTCTGCTGGGGGGTGGAAGAGAGCACCTGGAGGAGAGAACCCAGATCAAGTGTTGGGTTCCTCAGAAAAACCCACAAAGAGGAAAATACCCTGAAAAACTTGTAAAAAAATGGCTTTTTTTGGTGGTAGGAAGCATCAGACACTGTTTCGATTTGATATCTTTAGCTTGGAGTGCTCTGTGTCACAATAATGTAGGTTTTTCAGTGGTTTTCTCCAAGGTTGCTCCATCTCAGAAGACTTTAGGCACTGAAAGTTTTGGGCTGTGGTTATTCTGTGAGAAGCACCTGCAGCTCTCAAGGGCTTTACAACCTAACAGGGATGAGGAATGCCTCTGAAGTAGTGAGGGACAAGGCAGGAGGAGCTGGCTCAGGATGGATTTAGAGCCTTGAGTAGCAAATTTTCTGTCTGTGATCTCTGCCTAGAGCAGAACTTGTTACATGCAATCCATTCATGGTGCTGCTCTCTGGTTTAATTCTCCTCTGTGACGATGCTGAGGTCCTGGCACAAGTTTTCCCAGAGAATCTGTGGCTGCTCCATCCCTGGAAGTGTCCAAGGCCAGGTTGGACAGGGTTTGGAGCAACCTGGGATAGTGGAATGTGTCCCTGCTCATAGGCAGGGGTCTGGAATTGGAAAATTTTAAGGTCTCTTCCAACCCAAACTCTTCCACAATTTAAAATAACCCCTCAGAAACATTCTTCTCACAAACCCAGAATCTCAGCACAAGGGGAAGGGTTGCGCTCAGTTTGTTCTCAGTTTGATGGAGACAAATTCCTTCCATCTGGGACACCCTTACAGCCTTTGGGGAGAGCTGGCAGAGTGGATGGCACCAAGGAAATTCTCAGTGCTGCAACTCACGCCCAAGTCTGACCTTTTTGTGTGTGTCCAGATCCTTCAGCAAGGGGACAAACCTGACAAAGCGGACACATTTCTGTGATAAAGTGACTGACCTGGCAGACAAGGGATGAGCTGTGGATATTTTCTACCTGGACTTCAGGAAGGACTTTGATGCTCTCTCCTAGAAGATTATGGAATCAGGGAATGGTTTTGGTTGGAAGGGACCTACAGATCATCCAGTTCCACCCCCTGCCATGGACACCTTCCACTGTCCCAGGTTCCCCCAAACCCTGTCCAACCTGGCCTTGGACACTTCCAGGGATGGGAGCTCCACAACCTCTTTAGGAAACCTGTTCCAAAATCCTTATGGACAAGCAGTTGAGGCATGGGCTGGGTGGGCATTTCTCTTCTGAGAAAAAGCTGGGACTTCTCAGGCTGGAGAAGTGAAGGTTCAAATTGGGAATTTATAAATGTCTGTACATTACTGAAGGGAGAGAGCAAAGAGGACAGAGCCAGGCTCCTTTCAGTGATTCCCAGTGTCAGGACCAGGCAAAGGACACAAACTGAAACACAGGAAACATCAGGAAACACTTTACAACTGTCAGGTTAACTGAGCACTGGCAGAGGTTTCCCAGGGAAGTTGCGGAATCTCCATCCTTGGAGATATTAAATCCCCACCTGGAGACAGTCCTGAATTAGAGGCTTCAGGTGGTCCTGCTTGAGGGCAGGAATTGGGCTGGTGGAGCTCCAGAGGCCCTTTCCAACCTCCCCCATTCTGTGAATCTGGGAGTTTGGGAGTCTGGGATCTCTTTCTGATGCTCTGCTAAAGTCAAGGAGAGATGTAGATCCAGAAAACAGAGAAATAAATCAGCCCAAGCTCTTTCCTGTGTCACGGGTCTCCTGTGTGCGTGTCTCTGTCTTGTTTGACTCATCACAAGGGGTCTGAACCCGACCTGAGCCTGTGCTTTGACCACCAGACCTTTGTGTTTCTCATTCCCATCAGTCCAAACACGTCTTATTATTCCATTCCCATTCTCAGCATTATTATTTTGGAAAATCCCTCCCAAGAGATACCTGGACAGGATCCATACTGAGGCCATCCTCATGTTTTCCATCCTCCTGTTTTCCCTCCTCACAGGACACTCCTTGCAGTGTTACACGTGCAAGGATTTGACTCCAGTTGAGGAGTGCATGAGAATCGAGAACTGCACAGAGTCGGAGAACATATGCAAGACTACGATCTATTCCCGGGAGGATGGTAAGGACAATTCCCTCTTTATCCATGCTTTTAACAGGAATCAGTGTTTCGACAGTGCTGGTGTGCAGACCAGTTCCTCTTTCCACTTAAAAAGTGGAGAAGAACTCCATGGGAGCTCCAGCTCTCCTGCTGTTGTGGGAAGCAGTGTTTGGGTGAGGGAATATTCGGTGTATGCAAGCTCCTGGTTAATGCTCAGAAATGAGATTTTAACTTTTTGCAGGGTCATGTGGTGATAGGAAAACAGGGAATGGCTTTAAACCTAAAGAGGGTGAGTTTAGATTGGATATTAAGGAGAAATTGCTCCCTGTGAGGGTGGTGAGGCCGTGGCAGAGGTTTCCCAGAGAAGCTGTGGCTGCCCCATCCTTGGAAGTGTCCAAGGCCAGGTTGGAGAGGGCTTGGAGCAATCTGGGATAGTGGAAGGTTTCCTACAGCAGAGAGGTTGGAATCTGACAATCTTTATTTCCTTTCCAAATCAAACCATTCTACAATTCCATGACGCCAACTCCTGGTCATCAGAAGACAAAAGACAATGGTGACGCTCTCTCCCATTTTTCCCATCCCCAACTGTGCCTGCTTTTTTCCTTTCCCACAGTTTATCCCGCCCCGGAAGTCTCGACTGTCACCAAGATGTGCTCCTCCGTCTGCGAACCCTCCGACGTGGATGGCATCGGGATGACACATCCTGTCAGCTGCTGCTACTCCGACCTGTGCAACTTCGACGGCGCAGCGAGTTTGGGGATCAGCGTTGTGCCAGTTCTGGCATGTTCCCTCTGTGCCTTTTTCTGGACTAGACTGTGAGGGGATGGCGGGAGTAATTTATTCCAAAAAATTCCATGAAGAAAATAACCCCCCAACCAGCCCAGCTTTCCATGTGGATGCCTTATGAACAACACTTAGCAGCTCACAAAAATGGTTTGATTCTTGTTTTTCTTTTCTTTTTTTTTTTTTTTTTTTAAGATGTGTGGCTATCATGTTTCTCACTCATTCCACACAGAAGTCAAACACTGAAAAGTTTATATACAAATATATTTTTTTTTTTTTAATATCCACACTTTCCCCACAACTAAGAGAGAAGCAAAACTCAGGAAGGCCCAACTCAATGTTTTAATTGATTTTTTAACAACTGCCCAAAATTAACTGTGGAGTTTTTTTGCTGTGATGGTCTGGTTGGGTTTGAAGTAAAAAAAAATCAAATGCATGAAGTATATTTAAGGCAAGAAATCTTGAGAAGAGCTTTCCCTATCTCCTTAGAGCAGGTTCTCTCCACCCCGTAATTTCTGCTGTTCTTTCCTAGATTTCCTTATTTGTACCCAAAAAATTAAGGAGACATTTCTGTGTCCAAAATATGAAGCAGGAGCCTGAACTTCCCATACCAATGATCTGTTCCAGGGAGGTTAAAATCTCATGTTCTCTGTAGTCTTTTGAGCAGAATAAAGAGAATCTTGTGTTAAAATTGTTGTAATCACATTTAGTTTTCCTTTTTTTTATTTACAAACTTCATCTTTCAGTATTGTTTAGCAGTTAACAGGGTTGGATTTTGGGGTCAGTCACACAGCAGATGGATGAGACATTTCCCATTATCCCTCACTGGAAGAAACTTTCCATCAGCATTTCTTCCATCAACTCTCCTTGTACAAATCTATCTTTACTGGGAATAAAAATCTATCTTTACTGGGAATAAAAATCTATTTTTACTGTACAAATATATCTTTACTGAATTATCCCTGAATTCCTTGTGTGTTGCTCCAGGCTCCTACATTTTGATCCCTCCTGCTCTGGTTCTGCATTCTCCTATAATCCCCTTTCCAAGGTCCAGCAAAAATATCCTCCTGCAATTATCACCCTGCTCCTGATATTTGGGATAATCAACCCAAATGTGATATTAACTCTTCCATGTGGCACACGTGGTTTCCAAGAGAGGTGGCAAAATTCCCATCCTTGGGAAGATTTCATGGCCTAGATGGATAAAATCCTGAGAAACCTGGGCTGACCTCAAAACTGGGAGCTTGCATCAGGAACTTGGGTTAGGAACATTCTGAGGTTGCCTTTCCAACCCGAGTGCCCTGTAAATCATTATTCCAATGGGATCACTGGAACACAAACAACATCATTTCCAGGCATTCTATAAGGAAAACACAAACTGGGAATAAATTCTTCCCTGGGAGAATGATGAAGCCCTGGCACAGGTTTCCCAGAGAAGCTGTGGCTGCCTCATCTCTGGAGGTGTCCAAGGCCAGGTTGGACAAGGCTTGGATCAACCTGGGATTGTGGAAGCTGTCCCTAGTCATGTCTGGGGCTGGAATGAGATGATCTTGAAGATCCCTTTCAACCCAAACCATTCCATGATTCCGTGAAACTCTGAAAGCTCCTTGGTGGGGATTTCTCCAGCTCTGCCAAAGCCACAGATCCTGGAGCCAAGTGGGTTGACCCCAGAGGTGCCACCTGGGATAAAACCAGGAAGTCCCAACACTTGCCCCACTATTTCATTTGGGGTAAGCGGTGAGATATTTTTCAATTACCTCCCTTGCTTCAATTCCATTTCTCCTTCAGCCATCTCATTTATGCCTCCCTTGAACCACTGAGATTTTTTTTTTGAGGTCCACACCCTCCAAAAAATCATCAGGCACGGCTGATTGCAGCCACCTCTCAGGTGGCTGAACTGGAGCGGCTCCGTAGCTGTCATCGCTTTGAGGAGGCGCATGTGGAGGAGCTGATCCTCCCTCCCTTCATTGGCCACGGATGCTTCACCCCTTTGATCTCCGCCCAATTTGGCAGCGTGTTTCCCACATTCCGGCTGTTCCCTGCAGAGATCACGGCTGATCATGGGAGATCTGATCTGAAAGGCAGAAAATCTGTGTGGGTGAGGCTTTGGAGTCGCTCCCCCTGGTGTGAAGCGGAGCTCTCCAAGCACAGGGTGATGCTTTGTGGTTAGACATCAACCTGAACCTCTCTGTGGTTTGTGTCTTTTTTGATATAAAAATTAATATTTTAATTAATATATTAGCTCTGTTCCAACTGGTGTGAAGCTGGCATCAACTTCCTGCTTCTGGAAAAGCCTCTGATTATTTATTTCCCCCCAACAACCACAGAATGATATGTTTTTGATTAATTTTTGCTGAAATTTAATTCCCTCCTCATCCAGTTGACCTGCAGGTCCATCTGTTTTTTTCTGACCCTCCTCATTCCTGGGGGCTGTTCAAAACTGTCCCTGAAAGTTTCCCTGGATTTGTTTAAGAATGAGTCTCTTGCTCCTTTTTTTTTCTCTCTGGAGCTCTCCCAATCATTTCGGTTTCCCTCTTGTCCTGTCACAGTGAATCTTCGAAGAGTTTTGGCTCAGTCTTTTCTAGACCTTTTTTGAAATGATTGGAGAGGACAAGCAGACAAAATGCAAGGAGAACTTCAGGGAGAGATGGATAACTTGTCCAAAAGCTGTCTGAGGAAACGAGGCAGGGCTTTACTTGGTCAGTGGAGACTGCCTTTGGAGCAGACATCCACCCCACACCTTCCTGACTCTTGCACGGAGCTCACATAAGTTGCCACCTAATTTTTTTTTTTTTTTTGTTAATGGGATTTAATAAAGTGATCTGTGTTTTCCTCCTAGCTCAGCTCAGGCACGAATTTTTGTAGAACAACCTGGCTCTGGTTTGTTGCTTCAGCTCCCAGCCTGAGAAACCTTCCCAAGGGCCTGGATCTGTCTAAACAGATTCCCTTGGGAGCAGTAGGATTCAGCAGGGTTCTGGATAAACACAACCTTGCTGTAAACAGAGCTAAGTGCCCTACAGTATTTCTCTGAATATATTTTGGTTTTTATCCCTGTCCCCAGGGGAAAAAGCAGCTGAATTCCCTCTTGGCAGCCCTCCAGGTAAAATCCAGCTTGGTGACTTGGATATAGCTCAGAAATCTGGGAATCAGCAAACAGCCTTGCCAGAATGCTTCACACAGGGATCTGTGTTGTGCTTCCAATCCTCACGGAATAGGATAAATCCAGTGTGTTTGCTAATTCTTCCTTGGAAGAAGTGTTCCAAGAGGCCAAGGCAGTTGTGATTTCCTGCTGGGGATTGCAGAAACCTCCAGTGACATCCTGAGGAGGAGGCACCAAGGTTTTCTTTCATGTCCTTGCATAAAAAAAAGCCCTTTGCTGCTGCTCCTGAAAATGTGAAGTCTGAATTTCAGCAGTGCTTGAGTTGTTTCATCTGGACGTTAATCCCTCTAATTCCTTGGGACAGGGACACCTTCCACTATCCCAGGTTGCTCCAAGCCCTGTCCAACCTGGCCTTGGACACTTCCAGGGATAGGGCAGCCACAGCTTCTCTGGGAAATCTATGCTACCCTCACAGGGAAGAATCCCTTCCCAATATCCACCTAACGCTGCCCTCTGACAGTGGGAAGCCATTCCCTGAGTCCTGTCCCTCCATCCCTTATCCAAAGTCCCTCTCCAGCTCTTTTGAAGCCCCTTTAGGCACCAGAAGGAGCTGTGAGATCTCCCTGGAGTCTTCTCTTGTCAAGGTGAATGCATCCAGCTCTCCCAACCTGTCCATGCAGTGCCGCCTTACTTTCCTGGAAAACAAACAAAAAACTGGATAATTGTACCCAGAATGAGCATCCCAGTTTGCAAGCAGAGCTGTGCACGTGCCTGGACCAGGAAGCAGAAACGTGCGCTCGTGAAATCCAGGAAGTTATTTTCAAAACCGATTTTAAAACCAAATTTGGACGGCTTCCTTCACTCCGAGGAGGATTCTCGTGGTTATATAAGAAGATTATCTTTGACTTCAAGGCTGTGTCAACGTGAGTCAGGCCCTCAAGGGCAGGGCTGTGTCACCAGGCTGTGGTTATGGATTTGCAAATCCCTGTTCCCTATGTCAACCCCAACATCCCCCGTGCAAACAAACTGGGAAGAACTTGGAGCCAGCACAAGGTATCCATGGGAGAATGGAAACTCTTGCTGATGTTTGGAAAGATATCCAGCTGGATGTGACAACAACTGAGGTGTAGTGAAAGGTGTTTTGGGGGTAAAGCAGAAATAAAAGGAGTTGCCTCCCAGTATGGATCCAGATCTGGAATTGTACATGGGGTTGGAAGGCAGCTCTGGAGTCTGGGCTGGTCTGGGGAATGATTCAGCTGCTTTTCCCAACATGTGGATGGAAGTGCAGTTCCAAAGCCCATTTTTGGTGAATTACAGAGTTCTATGGACTTTTCTTAGGCTACGGTAAGATGAAGGTAGGGTAGGAACTGAGCCATCACTCATAGTTCTCTCTTTTTCATGGATGAACAATATTTCATGGGATAGTAGGATGGTTTTAGTTGGAAAAGACTTCAAGATCACCCAGTTCCAACCCCCTGCCATGGACAGGGACACCTCCCACTATCCCAGGTTGATCCAAGCCCCGTCCAACCTGGCCTTGAAGACTTCCAGGGATGGGGCAGCCACAGCTTCTCTGGAAAACCTGTGCCAGGGCCTCACCACCCTCACAAGGAAGAATTCCTTCCTAAATTCCAATTTAAATCTACTCTTTCTTTCAAACAGAATTGTTTCTGTTTGCTGGATCATGTTTGAAGCTTGATTTTTTTGGAGTAATTAATCATTTAAATTTCTTCACAAACCACATGGAGTTTTTTATTTCATGAACTTTTGCAAAGGGCTTTGGTTCAGTGTCACACAGGACAGGTTTATGACATGGCTTCCTTGACTCTAAAATAAGAGCAATATTTATCAGCCAGCTTTGATGCTGGAATTTTTCTATCTAAATTCAGGCTTTGAACTCCTCAGAGGAAAAGTTGTTGTAGAGCTTCAAAGCCTT